TCCACCTCCTGTCGAATTTCGCGATTCAGGCCATGTAAAAAATGCGAAATCGTAGCCTCCCTGTCTTCTCGAACGTCTGCCCGGAGTAAGAGCAATTCCAATTCTCTGAAATACTCCTCGACACTCCTCGATCCTTGGCGAATTCCTTGCAGCGTATCATGTAGATCGCGTAGGTAATAGGCTGGGACAAAGCTCTCCCTCATCAAGCCTCGCAAATTCATCCCACGTTTCGACTGGAACTTGCAGGTTACGTTGCCGGCGAATTTGGATTTGCTCCCACCATTGGGCAGCATAATCCGAAAACTCGTAAGTGGCCATTGCTACTTTTTGATCCTCGCTAAATTGCCCACAACGAAAGAACAGGATCATCTTACGTTCCCAATCAAGATAGGTGGAAGCGTTCATCGTTCCTTGGAATGTTGGGATCGTCAGTTTAACTCCCTGAGGCAGAGTAGGTTCCGTTTCCGGTCGTCGATCCCTGTGTTCACGACGGCCTAGGAATGGTCGATGATTTGGTTCAGTTACCACAACCCGTTGCTCTAGTTCTTCAATTCGTGCCAACAAATCTCGATTGACATCCTCTAGTTCACGATTCTGGAGAGGATTTTCCTGGTTCCTCTGCTCGTTTGCCGGTAAAGCAGGGACCCTTAATTGAAGCTCGGCCAATTGCTGATTTACTTGTGCAAACTGCTCCTGGAACAGTTGTTGTAAGGCCGCCATTGTAATAGGTTGCTGATCCCCCATGGCCGCTTGCTTCTTCTTCACTTGATGTTCCAAAAGCAGAAGCTCGGGGTCACCTGAAACAGGGCCCTTTGACCTTGTCCAAGGCGTTGCGTCGGCAACGCCCTCTTTCGTCGAAATCTTCTTGCCCTGCGTTGAACCTAAGGCTCTGATACCACTTGATAACACCCAGCCTGGGTGTTTGATTCTCAACCCGAACTTGAACAAACAAGTTCTGCAACTTGAACGAGAACCAAGCCGCCAATCTTCAATTTGAAAGAACAACAATGATGGAACCCTTGTGCAATCCTACACCTGGAGGAAGGCTCAAGAAGTATGTGTCGAAGCTTGCCCACGATCAAGGGGATTTTGATCGATACAAGAGCAAAGTCGAACTTGGTTTTCTCGGCCAAGCTCTCAACCAAAAACTATAGCTACGAGACTTAGTTTTTAGGGTTTTCTTTTATTCATCAACTCAACTGAATTGTACAATACGTTTGTAGGCCTTAAATAAAGATTACAAATAGTCTGGAAAGTGAAAGAAACCGAAACCAACAAGGTAAGCCAAACAATCCCAATTCTAATACAAAACGGAAACTTAAAATGCAAGTAACTAGCTGTTGTTGATACCAACTTTGAGACCCTCGTTCTCCATCCTCCCAACTCCAATTAGTTCACCCAATACCTTGTTTCTGTACTAGGAGATACGAACTTTCATGTAGACTCAACCTCGAAGCTCGACTCCCCGCCATTCTTCGTGCCCAACGCTCCAAAGTGACCTTCTCAAAACTGCCCCATGCCTTAGGCAAAATCTGGCAGTTTGCCTGTGTTGTCTTAGACTTTTGAGGAGCTCGAAAATCACATCTCCCAGCCATGTTTCGAGCTTCCAGGCACTCCAAGTTATAAACAAAGTTACCATCTTCAACATAAACCGACCACTTCTCATTTTCATCCATCCAGTCATGAGGAAGAGGCTCGCAAAGAGTGCTACCCGAAACAGCTACCATACTTAACCAAAAATCCAGGTTCTTCAAGTGTGTATGATTAGCTCCTTTGGCAACCAACTTTGGAAGATGGAGGAGGGATTTTGGGATCATATCATCTTCGATCTTCTGCATGCCATCAAATATATGATGTGCTATTGAATGACCAGCACGCTCCCTCCCTATAGCGAGCTCCCGTCTCTTCACAAACCACTCGTTTACCTTCCAGTATGTCATCTCCACTAGGACAGATACTGGCACTGCCCTAGTGCCCTTGTAGACTCCATTTATGCTCTCGCCATGGTTGGTAGTTGCAATGCCGAATCTAGCCCCGTTGTCCATGTGAAATGTCCACATGTGCAGATCTTGACCTTCTGTCCATATTGCTCCCGCCCGGTGTATCTGACGGATCGTCTTCATCTTCTGCTCGTACTTTTTTGGTTGATGTGCAACCGCTACAAGACCGGAGAATAAACAATTAAGCCCTAAGAAATTTCATTTCAACAATAAACCATGAAGAATCGACTGAACTACATTACTACCTGCACTCCACAATTGATCTCTTATGTCTTTCTTCTTGCCAAATTTGTGTTGGAAATTGGCAAGGAAGTGACGAATACACCAGCGCCATGTCCATCCCCATTCGTCGGGAAAACCACCGATGGCGTGTTTAATCCCGGCATGTCGATCCGATATAATTGTAATACCCATTCTTTGTGTAACGTGGACGTGTAGCTGGTCAAAGAACCATGCCCAACTTAAGTTGTTCTCCCCTTCAACTAATGCAAATGCTAAGGGGAAAATACTTAAATTTCCATCAACCCCAGTTGCAATGAGAAGAGTTCCTTTATACTTCCCCAGTAAGGAAAGTTCCATCAACCTGTTAAAAATGAAGAATTAGTTAGTAAAAATTTAACTTAGTAAGGTAAAGAACTAGTACAATATTTTGAGTCCGTAATATACCTGAATCACTGGCATGCAGAAGGGAAACCCGTCAATGCATGGCTTGAATGTCCAGAACAGACGATGAAACATCAACTCGTTCTGTACTCGAACTTGATCTTCAGTTTGCACGTTGTTGTACCACGGCACGAAAACCGTCCCAGGGTTGGACTCCTCCATTGCGGACATTAGTCGAGGGAGTAAAGCATACGAGTCATCCCAATCACCGTAGACCTCAGCCATGGCCTTCTGCTTCCTATGCTACGCCTTCTTATACCTTATGGTGTAGGAATGTCGATCCTTCACCTCGGCCATAATAGCTTTTATCTTGATATCTGGTTGTGCCTCGATTAGGTGCTTAATGGTTCTCGCCACCTTTTTTGCTTTCAGTTGCCGTGATCCTGTGAAAGTATGGTTGAGGAGCATCTGTGGTTTTTCTCTACTGTTCGCATGACCCAGACGCCCTTTCTCTTCATATATGCAGCCCGAAGTTGCCACATACAACCCTCTCCAGCATTCTTACAAATGACATGCAGTTGTTTGGTGTCAGAATATTTTACCTTCCATTCGAAGTTACGCCGCATGGCTTCTTCGCTAAAAGCATCTTGCACATCGGCTTTCGAAGTGAACGCCATACCCACTTCCAAATTAGCAGTCGGATTATACACAGGCATGGGCCGATAGTCAGGGGCATCGTTCTGACCATATAAAAATTGATCAGGAACCTCTGTGTAGTAAGGCGTTGGTGCCTGATGGAACGCCACCTCTCTGTCACCGACATCGTCGATATCGTCCGTATCTTCCTCCTCACTGACTGATCTCAAATCTTCCTCACTTTCATCGTCACTAGAGGCGAATGGATAGCTCGACTCAGGATGGTCATCAGCATAACCAACATCGTCTTGTTGGTCATGCGAAGAACGCCCAGATCGAAGGGTGTTCTCAATGTCAGCCCACTGTGGACCCCAAGCAGGCCATTGATCATCGTCGGGCTGAACGATATTGATGGCAGTCTCAGCATGTTGCGGGTATTCTTCCCACCCAACACCTCCTTCATAACTACCTCCTCCGTAGTTGCTTGAAGTACCACCCCAGCCATACCCTCCTGCAGAAGTACCTCCTCCGTAGTTGCTTGAAGTACCACCCCAGCCATACCCTCCTGCAGAAGTACCTCCTCCGTAGTTACTTGAACTACCACCCCAGCCATACCCTCCTGCAAAACCATCATCACAAGAATACTGGTGAGAATGAGTTTCACCGACCGGCTCGGTCTCGACATACACCTCTGCAAGCCGCACCCCGTTGTCAGATAGGAACTGTATCATCATGTTCACCGAGTCATCATCATTTATGACAACTTTTTCGTACATGACTCCGCCAGCACTCATGTTTGGATAGCGGTAAGCAATTTGACCAACTCTCCTTTGCCCGCCCGTACAAGTCCTTTATGCACAAATGTCATGGAGTTCTTGCCACGAGAATCTCGACTCAATTTTAAGCATAGTGGATTCGCCATTTTCATAGTCGAACCCAATGTTCGAGTTTGTCACCCGACCATTCCACCGAATAATAAGCCGAAACTTCTTAAATTTACCCATGTCTGCAATTTATAATAATTAAGTATAGTATATAATTAGTACATTAGGGATACAAAAACAATATCATCCAAACCCATAAACAAACGCATGTAATTGATCTATCACGAGAAAACTAAGCAAATTCATCTAAATTCATAACTAACTAACTAACATCTATCATATCATAATTAATCTAAATATATCATAACATATTTTCCAATAACCGCAATTCACTAAATACAGACATATAATTACTAACACATCAACATGTAAACAATACATAATTATAACATACCGAAGCCCGATCTATCATGAGAAAACTAAACAAATTCATCTAAATTCATAACTAATTAACTAACATCTATCATATCATAATTAATCTAAATATATCATAATATATTTTCCAATAACCGCAATTCACTAAATACATACATATAATTACTAACACATCAACATGTAAACAATACATAATTATAACATACCGACTCCCGATCTATCATGAGAAAACTAAACAAATTCATCTAAATTCAGTACTAACTAACTAACATCTATCATATCATAATTAATCTAAATATATCATAACATATTTTCCAATAACCGCAATTCACTAAATACAGACATATAAATTACTAACACATCAACATGTAAACATTACATAATTATAACATACCGAATCCCGACGAGTTTCTTAAGCAGTAAACCAACTCCAAACCAGTTGAGAAAACGACTAATAAAACACTAATTTTGTACTAATTTTCTGTAAGGTAGCAAGAGGGGAAGTGGAGGTCTGTATTTATAGGAAAAAACGGCAGCAATCACCGCTGAGGATAATGGCGGTGAACACATCACTGCTTTTGTCCAAAGCGGTGATAGCTAGGTCGCTGTGACCTAATTCCCACCTACCAGGGCTCTAAAACGTGGTCAATTATCACCGTTTTGGTCCATGGCGATGATGTGATCGCTTTCGTCAACAGCGATGATAAGGTCGACTATCACCGTTTTGCACAAACGCGGGGAACCCATCACCGTTTTGGTTGAAAGCGTGATGCTATCACCGTTTTTGACCAAAACGGTGATTGCATCACTGTTTTGGTTGAAAGCGATGATAGCATCACCGTTTTTGTCCAAAGCGGTGATAGCATCACTGTTTTCGTTAAAAGCGATGATGCTATCACCGTTTTGGTCTAAAACGGTGATTGCCATCACTGTCTTGGTCTACAACAGTGATGTTGAAACTGCTGTATTTTGGGAAATAAGTTTATAAGTATTGTATTTTGGAAATTTTTTTTAATAATTAGAGTATTTTGCGATTTTTTCCTGTAGAATACATAGTTAGTTGTTGTGAGTAAAGGAAGAAAAATATTGCAAATGAGGACTTCATTTTGCGGTAGCAGGCAGCACCGATTTCCCCTTCTGAGTTACGTCGGAATTTTTGGGCCCGGGCTCCGGTTTGTAGGATTGGCTGAAGTTTAATATGGGCTTTCATCCTTTTATATATTGAGGCCAAGGTCTTTCTCTTGTTGTTATTCTATTGCTTCAAATAAGCCTTCAGGCCCATGGCTATTTGGGTCTAGACGCCAGCACTCAGGTCTCGGCGTGTGTCAAACTGCCAACTCTCTCTTATTAACGTTGACTCGTACGAATTCCAATTTGACCATATGAATACCGAGTCAACACAATGCCCTCGTTGACCCATTGTTTGAAGTTTTGAACGGCATTGTTTTACCAGGAATTCCACATAAGACGAGTTCTGACCATAGAGAAATCTCACATTAGTGCCTGCCACACAACACAAGACTCGGCTGAAAATAGGTTACGATATCCACAAACCATGCATTAGGCCAATTTCCCAAAACAAAAAACAAAACAAAAATACATTTTAACACCAATTTAATGCAAACAACCAAAAGTATAAAACAAACGACGGGAACTCAATCGACAATGAATCATATAACCTAATAATAACCTCGCGTTGAGGATGATAACATCTATATAATTTTAATCTTTAGACCAATTTCTATCGTACTATCACCCACCCATATTCCCATAAACCATCATACCTCAATTCCCCATGTACAAACCAATAATCAATAATCTTTCTCCTAATAACAAACAAAAAAAAACTAACGTTATGATAATCTTAATTTATCATTCCTAAGTAAAAAGTTCCAATTCCTAAAATCTTACAACTAACAAAAGTTGCAAATCATATCCCCTTTTTGTCACATCTCAATAAACATCAATCAATAGATAATATATTCTGCGGAGGAAAAGAGAGAGCCAGTTTTTGTTGTTGTTTGCTGTTCCTTCCCAATTCGCTTCACGCTACGCTTATGATGCTGTCCCCACTAGACATCCCCTGAAAAGCAGACGACCTCGTCCCGCCGCCAGCCGCCGACGATGACTGCTCGTCGGAGGAAGGACTCGTTGAAAGCCTCAGCGACAGAGGCAAAAACACTTCCTGATGATGGTGACCGCTGGAACGGCTACTAGCCATCATCCTCTGCTTCCAATTGAGATCAGCCATTTTGGAAGAGAGCGGAATTGGAATCGGAATCGGACGAACCAGCTGGTTATTGGGTTTTGTTGTACTCGTCGGCGGTCCCAGCGCTAGCCTCTCCAACGACCCGTCGCCGGTGATTGGTATAGCCACCGGGAAATTGGGTACCGGAGGAAGCTTCCCCAGCTGCAGCTGGCTGGTTGTCTTGATCGGAACAGACGCCACCGCCGCTTCTTGGTTGGGCGATGTCTGCTGGTCTTCAATTTCCATCATAGAATTGCCCATAAACTGTAAAAGGATAATAATCAGTTTCCCAATTTCCCCAAATTTTAGAAACTGTACATACATATTAACAATAATAAAATACACTCACGGAACTATCGGTAGTGATGTCAAAGAGGCTGGAGCGGCGGCGCCGGCGATTCTGATTGTTCCGGCGGAGGAAATACTTCTGAGCGTGGCTGGCCACCTGCGTCGGCGTCCTGCTCTTGACGAAATTCCTCGAAATCCCTCTCCAATCGCCTTTCCCCACTTTCTGCAGACCCACGAGGAACAATCTGTGCTCCTCCTCTGTCCACGGCACCCCTGCACCCAAAATCAAACAAATTCCCCAATTCAATCAATCAAAAATTTCCCCCCCAAAATCGCATCCTGTACTGATTTAAGAACCCTAAACCACAATTACCTCGTTTTCGCTCGCGGCTTCTCCCGGAGGCGTGAACGACGTCGTCGGACTCGTAGCCGGAGGCCACGGCGTCGGCTACTAATAAGGGGTCCTGATTGATCCCCTGGTCGTACTGGGACAAGTTGTTCATACTCACGCTCTTTCTGAACGAATTCATACCCGCCGTGACTCGAACCCCGAACAGCATAATCCCGCTCTCCCCCGCCGTTCCCCCGCCGCCGCCCTCGCCGGTGGTGGTGTCGCCGTGGCAGGTTCGGGAGTTGTGCCCGTTGTTTCCGCACTGCGAACAGCTACGAGACATCTCTCTCTCTTTCTCTCCGTGCCTGCGTCCTGGTCCGTGGAAATTGATACCTGAGTCTGCGGAAATTATTTCCGCAGAGAAGAAACGTTTTCAGAGTGAGAGACAGAGAGGAAATCTGGGAAATTTGTGTCGCTGGTTGATGATGAAGTATTGAAGTATGTAGTAAGAATGGAAATCAAAGAGAGAGAGAGAGAGAGAGAAAGGTGGTGTCTGTTTTTGCGGATCAGACGGTGGGGAATTGGGTAGAATTTAAGGTGGAGAATGGATCAGGTCCGTCCATCTGTCCGTCCGTGCTTGGGTTTGACGTTTTGCTCGCCGGTCGGTGGAAACGAGAGCAGCTGTTATCGTAACATCCTTACATTTTTGTTCGTGCGTATTCTCTTGTGTATTGGTATTTCCCCGGCGACAAATAAAACGCATAGTCTTTTCCAAATCAATACCTTTTCTTTTTTCTTCCTTTAATTAATTTTTAGTTTAAACATGGTTTGTGCTTGGTACTGTACCAACCATCTGGCCATGCATAAAAATTGCCTACCAATTGTTAGACCGATACAATGAAGTTTTGTAGTGATTGATACGACACGATCAAATTGTCTCAACATGTTGTTATCATTACATTTTTTTGTATTATGATTTTATTTTTTTGTATCGTTTCAACAATAATATCTTATCAATCATACTATCACTTGAATGATTCAGTTCCATATTGTGTGAAACCTAGTCCACGTAAAAACAGAAACATTTTCTTTATAAGGTACGTATATCGGCCACACGGCTTTTACAATTGATAAAACGAGGGCTTATATATTACCTAGCACAACTGATCAGCCAGGGCATAACAAAAAGCTTATAATCACACTTATTAATACGGGAAATAAACGTCTCAAATAGGATTGTATCATCAAATATCATCCCGATGATGGATTGGTACGTATATTGTTGTTGGTGCGGATGGCTTGCTGTTTGTCGATCAGATAGCATACATTCACGTGAGCGTTATATACAATATAGTTGAGTGATTTTTATTTATTTTATCTGGCCCCTTTTAATCTCTTGTCTAAGAATTAGGGTACGTTTGGTTGTTTTCTTCTCACGAATTTTGTTGTTTATAGTTGTCGTAATGGGCCAAAATCCAAATTAAAATAAAAGATAAAAAAAAGGTTTGGCATTGGGCAAGAAACTAAATTTTTCTGTAAATATCCAACAAGGAAAGGATAACAAGGAGACTCAGAGAACGTTGAATTCATTGTTGTGGCCGTGTTGGATTTGGTTAAGCCAATGGGATAAAGTTTAAAGAATGATATTTTTTTTTCACTCATCAAAATGACAAGGTTTTACTTCACTGGGAATATTTATTTATGTTAATTATTCCTATCTCCAGAAATTAAATGGGGGAATCTGTATATGCCTAGTATCGGATGTTTTACAATGACTAAGGAAACAAAATTTAAGTACTGTGATCATCTTGTTTAATTTAGTGGTATTAGGGGAACTCTAGAGATGATCTTGCGATAGTCGAATGTTTAGCTTATAAGAGTCACTCGATTTATTCTTGTACTCAGTTTGTTTATGGCTCAGATTATGATATTATGTAATAGATTATATTTGACTACTTTGTTCGCGACTTTGTTCTCAGTTCAATTGCTTAATTTGAGATAGTGGTATTTGTAAGACATTTTATTAAAAAAATCTTATTTAATTTAGTGCCTTAACATTGTTATTTCAGGACTTCAACGGGAGGGTAACCTTTCAAGATAAAAAAAAATCTTCTTGGATTCTTTTTATATGAAATAATATTTTTTCTATTTTTTTGTAGTTTTGAAATTATATGATTTGAAAAAAAAAATTTATTTTGTACAAAAAAATTATAAACGATAAGAATAATCTAATATTTTTAGATAAATTGACATAAGTTAGAAATCAGAATGTTCGCTTTTATGTTATAAAATTGATTTTCAGCTTTTCAAAACTTCGTTTTGTAAAATTGTTTGTCTAGATTTAAGCTTTTGAGGTAAATTGGGCCGAATATAGACATTAATTATTTCAATGCGAATGATACTAAAAACTAAAAAGAAACTGAAGTAGCCGGCTCAGCTTAGGCCTTATAATATAAAGCATCCCTCTTATAATCAGCATCAATTAGTAGTATATGATATGCAACAGTGTACAATGGAGGGGATAACTTTTACTATTTCCCCACTTTTGTTTTCTTTTACGATGGGATGATGTTGAGAGTTAGAAGTAGAACAAAACAATTAGTGGATAACTATTATATATGCATATTTTTTTGGTATGATTGCTGTATATTATATTTTGTATGGGGCAAATTATTATATTGGTTATAGAGAGACAATGGTGGTAACAATGAGTAGCCAATGTTGATATTGACATGAATTTCATTTTTAAAAACAGGTGTGGGGAGGGAGGCCGAGAGAGGTTATCAAACCACTCGTATGTCGGTCGGTAGAGTCGGGTTCAACTTGTATTGATTAAAAACCTGTTGGAAAATCGTTGATATAAAGCGGCAGTCGAAATCGATAAAAAAAAAAATTATGATGGTTTCTCTTTTAGTTTGTAATGTAATAATTTATTTAAATATGGATGAAGATTATAGGTAGATTGTCTTAAGATATAGAAGATGTAAATGCACAATTCATTTGGTTAATGATCTTTTACTTTTTCATTTATTTTGTAATAACTAACTATAAACTAGTTATACTCCACTCAGACTATACGATTTGTTAAACCTGTATAATGATATAAGCTGGTTTGACAATCTCATTCTTGCTCTAGAATGGTCTAAGATATATGGAGATTGGAGAGAAGAAAAGGGGCATATAGCCATATATACTTAATAAACAGAAACAAGAGAAAGGAATGGTGGAAGAGCCAAACCCCTTCTCTACCGTCAATTGAGCATAATAGCATATTCCTTCCCTCAACAAATACTTGTTGCTTAATTTTTAATGCCTATTTTGGTCATTCTGCCGTTATTATAGATGCAGTTTTTGGCTATAGCTTTTAAATAAGTATTCTTAAAAAAATGTTGAATGTTTTTAAAAAAATGTCATTGTTTTGTTGCTGTGAAATGTTGCAGGATGGAGAGGAAGGCAAGTCGATTTTTAATCTATTATGTTTTTTTTAAAATGTTTTCTGTTAATCCGCGTGTAAAGGTGCAGACTCGATAATGCCAACCCAACTCATTCCATCAGTTTAGTCAAACTGTTAATTAACACCGTTAGAACATTGGACGAAATTGGATATTCTGTGTATTCGAAAGTTGTGGTTATATTTGTCACAAACATGAAAGTTGTGGTTATGAAAGTGTATTTTGTCTTATAGTTTCTTACTAATTGACATAATCAAAGATTAGGGTATGCTGAAGAAGAAGAAGAAAAAAATCATGCAGTCCACATTAAGTAATTCGTTTTACGAGGGTGGGATAAGTTTGTTCTTTACTGGAAGGTGCTACGTAATTAAGAGATTTGATATGAGATCTCCATATTGAAAACCAACCGTAGTATCAATAAATAAACCCTTGTTTGCATGCTTGTTAAGCAATGTAAATCATGAGTTAGAGAGTCATGGTAAGTGATCGAACTCTTGCGATTAGAGAATTTTCATTTAAAAAAAGGATGATGATATAAATATTGTCCCCTGCTTTATCCCATGAAAGTTGTAAACTGTTAGCCCAAAGAACGATTTTGGATGTTGTAGTTAGGGTTTTGCTACTGATCTAATGGATCCATGGCAGCATTCAGCAACTATCTTTAGCTAATTGATATGGAGCATCGAAAATATCAGACAACATGTCTGGGTGGTGTAGTTGGTTATCACGTTAGTCTCACACACTAAAGGTCCCCAGTTCGAACCTGGGCTCAGACACTTTATTTTTGATTTTTTAGACTTTCACCAAAGAGCAGCGAGAGATATTTGGGCCTGCCAGGCCCAGGTCAGCCAGATAAAAAGAATTTTTTGATTTTTTAGACTTTCACCAAAGAACAGCGAGAGATACTTGGGCCTGCCAGGCCCAAGTCAGCCAGCTAAAAAAAATTCCGGAACGGGGATTGAACCCGACGTGAATCGAACACGCAACCTTCTGATCTGGAGTCAGACGCGCTACCATTGCGCCACGGATCCGGTTGTTGAAGTATTGCTCACTGGACTTATTAGGACAATTCGACACCCAGGTTGTCTAAAGTCTAAAAGCGAAGCAGATTGGTTTTCCTCATGAGAGGTTCAATGGAAGCGGGAACTCTTCTCCGTGGTGCCATTTATTGGAGCTTCAGTTCCCATTCCCAGCGTCATCTTCTCCAGCGGGCTCGTCTCCGTAGAGATGTTCTGGCTTCTTCCTCCAATCCACAGGTAATTCAGCTTTTAGCGAAGTGCCCGATTGTTCAGCTTGCTTTTGGAATTACGCCCTTTGATTTCTTATTCTCCTCTATATTGCCGACGCAGTTGCAGAAAAGCTATCAGGGGCCGAAGCCGAAGCGAGATTTGGTTCCTGATTGGGTGTCCAACAACGACGCCACCGTACGAAGCTTGCCTATATACGTTGGAGGTGCTTCTCTCGTCGCCGTCCTCGTTAATCGTGCCGTTTCCGGTATAGCCCCAGTTGCAGATGCCAGTAGGTGAGGCTTCTAAAAGATCCGTCATAGTTGAAGTTCTCGAATTTTCAACTGTGATTCCATTGTTCAACTTTATCTCTAAGTAGTTTCCAAGGAAATTTAGCAAAGCTACAGAAGCTTTGGTACAGTAGAGGGTAACTTGGCTCAGTCATTTCATGTGATGTTGGTAATTTTGGCAGTTCGCAGTCAAGAGCCGATCTACTGGCACTTGGGTTGGCTGTGACCAGTATACTGTCTGGCCTGATATGGCTGACAATCAAGCCAAAGTCTATCTCTGTGGTAGAGATTCTTAAGACTGTGTTTTGAAATGTTGGTCCATAGCTGCTTTCCCTTTGTTGAAATCACTTGCGGCTAAGTGATCTTGTTCTCTTGGTTGAGTATTTCTCCAGGTGAATCCGCTAGGTGTGGAATGTCGGATGATATCTTCTTCCCACTTACCTGACCCTTTAATTGCGGAGTTGTTATGGTACTGCTCCATGAACAAAAGGGGGTTTCTTGCTCTTTGTTTCCAGGCTTTTTTTCCAGTTCGGAGCATTAATTGATTTTGATTTTCCAGGGCATGGGAGTCTCTATCGTCGGTTACATGCTGCAGGTCTCTAGTGGTTGTGTATGATGGTACTTGTATATTGCAAATTGGAGTTGCAGCTGAGTCTCCTGATGGCGAAGCACTGGCTGTGGATGCTGCCAGGTTGACTGAAGGTTCAGTTTATCAAGGTGTTATGAAGTCTGGTAGTCGTAAGTAATAAAGCATACTCTTTTGGTTTGTTTGAGCTTCTGACTTGCCTTGCCACGACCTGAGATCGATGCTTGATTAGGAAATGCAGTTTCTTTGATAACGTCAGTTACTGTTGTGTGTTGATACCTGTGCAGAGAGTTATTTGGCAAACCTATCTCTGTATCCTGGGAGGTCAGAGCTGCCATTTTTACCTTCCAACACACAGGTGAGCTTGCCGTGGTTTCCCGCAAACAATTATGTTTGTTCATTGCCCCTCGAGAATTCTGGTTTTGTTAACTCTTCACTCCGGATGGTGTTTGAAACTCTTCAGGCAGTGATTTTACAGCCTCTTGGAGACAAAGGAATTGTAATTATTGGAGGTGACATGATTAGGGGGTTCACAACTGCTGATCAGGTGCGTGTACTTCCTTATTTTCGTTATACATCATCTCTCCCACACCACACCTCATCTCTTCTTGTGTCTTGCCTCTTTAGCTCCAGCATTCTCCATTTGCTTCAATTTTACATTCTTTCTCAAGTTTGCAACTAACCAACCCGATATTCTGTGGGACCTACGGCTTTCACCCCATTTAGATGTCGTTTCTATATTATTATAAATATGCCCTACTCATGTTTCTGCAGTCGTGGATTACTTATCTAGGAGAAAAACTAGATGCAACAATTGCAAAACATACTATTAGTGGAACCCCCTTGACGATCCAGGACAGAGTTTGAGATCAACTGGTGTACTTATTTTCCCTCCCACATCATTTATATGGCCCACATTGGGCTCAAGGTAACTTCAGCTTGGTATCTCTGAATGGACTGAAGCACCTGCATTCTGCCTAAGCATTACCTTAGTAGCATTATCTCGTGATTATCTACGTATTTTAGATTAGGATGTGGGATAGATGGCCCTCGAGATGGCTAGAGGCATACTGTTTTCTTAACATCTTTACGATGTTTCTGGATAAGTCTATGTCTTATAGTACTTGATGCTGATGCCTTTAGAATTATGTTGCATTGTTCTTTCATATTGCTGAACCGAGCCCCTTGGAGTGGCATTTCCCTCTGCGTTTGAGAGAGAGAGAGAGTGAGAATGAAATAGAGCACTTTCTGGAAAAAAAGGAATATATGATCCAACTCGATTGTATGAGTGCTTCCAGAGTACTTGTTAGCTCATTTTAATATTTGCTCATTATAGCTGGCATTGTCTGTGATAGTGCTTTAGCAGGTGTACATACTTGGCCTGTACCAATATAATAGAAATTATAGATAAGTGAGACCAGTTACAGGGCTTCCTTTACTCGAAACCACTTATCAATCCCGTTGAAATTGGGTGGTGTATAGGGAATACCGTACTTCCGTATTAATAGCTTTGCTTCAAACATCTGATCACTTTAGTGTCATGAACTAGAATTTGTGCCTTGTAGTTTACATACCACGCAAAATCATTGATGACAGTTCTGGTTTGGTTCTTATCAGTTTCAGTATTCTGTTTACAGGCTCTGGCATTTTTTGCAGCTTCGATCTTCTTTGGTGCCAGCGATGCAATACGCAAACCCTTTCTGCCTGCCCATATGCCACACTTCCCATCTTCAATTGGTGCTGCCTGTTGCTGTGGATTATCTGTACACACCTTAATGCTTTTATTATATGTATGGCCGTGTCGATCCTATTTGTACATACATAAATACATTCTTATCCTCTATATACTTGTTCAGTTGTCCGTTGTTCTTGACTTGGCTCTTTCTTGCATGATGCAAATGGCGGGTTGGAAAACGTCCAAAGACCCAACCCTGACTCAACTTAAATGCACAGTTCTATATTTGATTGTTTGCTGTTGTTGAAACAGTCTGTCGACCTTGTCCAAATCTGTATTCAATCACTCGCAACGGTCGAAATTTTCAAAAGGTTCATCCCCACATTCAACTTCTCCCGGCCTTATCATTTGTCTGATCCATTACAGGATGGGGAAAACGAAAAAAAGGAACGAGAGAATCATTTCATTTCAATATGTTTAAACCAACCCTTTACATCATCTGTATAATAACTGTGTAAAAATTCGCATGTCAGTAGAAGAACAGGCACAGAGAGATTTTGCCCCCCAAAACAGGGCGGAATGAGGAAAATAATTGAAACAATTTAGCAAAAGAATCGGTTGCTGGTATATGTCAACAGCTCTGTGTGTGTTTGTTTTACAAGACACTCCAAAACTTGTAGTGAACTTCCGATCATCGGCTAGCAGAAGAAGAGCTCCTCTCCCAGGGCAGCAACCCAGTGCCCACATCAGCGAAAGAACCCAGCACAAAGTCCTTGAGACCGGTGTCCCAAACCTCACAGAACCTCAGCCGCCAATCCGGCGGCTCGACGGCCTCCGTCCCCAGCCCGGGCGCCCTGTCCTTGGACCCTTTGTTGTGATCGTCCTGCCAGTTGGTCACATAGGTCGAAACCCTCCTGAAAAACTTGGCCTTGAAAGTGTCCCACACCTGGTACTTGTAGTGGTTGATCACCGCCGTCCCCTCCGCGACGTTCGTCGACTTGTACCCTTCCCTCAACTTGAAGTGATGCACAATGTTCAGCAGCGTCATGTCAAGAAGGTCAGGTCGCACGAAGGATTTGTGCCTTTCAGGAGCCTGCAGCCTGCAAGTGTAACCTACTGTCACACCTTGCTTCGGCGGTTCTGTCAGCCCCGATGGCCCGAAGCTGTGGCACATTGTCCTGACCTCAGCGATCGTAGGCGAATCGGTGTAGTTCGAGACCAAGGCGCGGAGCGAGTTCTGCCCTGGCAAGGGGGTTTGGCCACTGTAGCGAGGGAAGTAGAAGAACTCGTCGACGTCGAAGAAGCCAACCCACTTGCACTCGTACTTTGCTCTCAGAGCACAATGCGAGAACCCTGCCTCCTGCGCTTTGATCCACGGCCAGACGTGCCTGGAGACATTGTGATTCCGCGAGTTGAGCTCGTCGGCGACGTCTTGTAGCCCGTCGTCGCTGTTGTTGTCGTAGATGAACCACCGCTCCACTCCCAGCCACGAGTGGTACATCACCCATTCCTTCAAAACCGACGCCTGGTTCCACAGCATCGTGCAGGCGCAGAGCTCGTACTTCCCTTCCCCTTCCCCTCTCATCCCGTGGGATTTCGGGTTGTACACTTTCGCCACCGATGGCAGAGCTGCAGGGGATGCGGCGGAGTCTTCGACGTGGCTGACGGTGACGCGGATTCCTTCGGCAAGCGCGGTGTTGTTTTTCCGGATGCTTCTGGGCAGCAAGCAGCGGACCACTTCCTGAGCCGCGGCGGTGGCTTCGGTGGTGAAGACGAAGCTTTCCTCTCTGCTCAAATTGTTGCTCAGCGAGAAATGGCACCTGAATTCGGCCGGATCGACTTCCCTCCGCGGCTTCAGATTCAGCCCTTTCGCCAACACCACCACAGTATTCCAATCGAGAATCGCCTCGTACACCACTTTTCCCCAATCGGGGACGGAATCAGAATTTTCCTCATCCGCCGTCTGATTCGCCGCCCTCCTCGAAGAAGCCATCCAGTTCCCTTCCACAACTTCGCCGCCGGGGCGGCGCAAATCCACGACGGCGGAGTAGTTCACAGGCGGGAGCTCGCACCTCACAATCGACTTGCTCTCCTGGTAATCGTCCGCCGAAATCGCCAGTTTCACGAGCATCTCGTCGAGCAGGTCGGCGTCTCCGAGCTGGTGGTAGTAGACGCACTCCAAGCTCTCCCCTCGGCGGACGCGGTTGGACAGTACGAGCAGGAGATGGTCGGGGAGCAGAACCCGGCTCTCGATAACCAGAGGAAGCGACTTGCCGCCGCCGAAGTAGTCCTGGGTGAGGAGGACGGGGAAGACCCGGGTAAAACCCGAGACCCGGAGGACCGGCCGGAAGGGAGACCGATCTGAGCCAGAGAAGTAGAAGAGAGTGAAGAGGAACAATATGATGCCGAGAGTGAGAGACCTGAACGAGAGGATGAGCTTCAAGGCGCTGGTCCCGCCGTGGTTGGCTCTCTTCCGCTTCCGCCGCTGGTCGGCATCCATGGCCGGCAAAAAAACAAGTCAGCAACAGATCTGGAATGGGTTTCCGAAGAGTTCGTGAGAGAGAGAGATTCTGGGTTTCTTTGTCTGGAGAGCACGCAAGCAAAAGGGTGTAATAAAGGGTGGTCAACAATGGCTACCGTCCGTCAAGGTGGTGCGGGATTGGCGAGTTGGGAGGGAGAAGAATAATTAAAGGAGAGAGGGTAGCTGTAGGCTGGAGGAAGAAGACGAAGGAGGAAAGGAAAAGGAGAGGAAAAGGGTAGCGACTGACGCCGACGCGGGAGTTATGGCGCGTGGGGGTGACGTGACAATCCTCGTAGTCGTTGTTGTGTCGTATGAGGAATTGTTTTTTCCGTTTCTTTTTAGGGTTGTGCTGTAAAATTGTAATAATCAAGTGAATACATACATCGCACTCGGCCTTGATTAATTGAGGGAATTAATTGTTTTTTTTTTGTCAATTAATGGTGTTGACTTAAATGATTCGTGTGACATTTGTATTTCCCCAAAGATTCGATTTTGTTTCCTATATTTGAGAGGATAACAAAATCGCTGCCCTGGAATTCCCCTCCGTAAAAAGACGACCCCGTTTGGCAGTTGCTATTATTAGCAAACCAATTATTATGTTGTCGTTTTGGATTTATATTCAAGGCATTCTAATCGCCCCAAGGAAAAAAAAACGGTCAATAAGCTTTTTGAGTTTAGTTGAGTTGAGTCGAGTCATATTACTAAAAGTAAGTTTTTTTATTAATCATTTGTAATCCTTCATTAATCTAGTATAGTATCTCCATAAAGTTACAGTGTAACATCCAAAAAAAATTCCGATTAATATACTGTATGGCTAAACGTCGCCATGCTATTACTATTATCGCCTTAAATTACAATGTAAAATTACTAAATTATCCTTCACTAATCAAATCAAATTAAATAAAAAACCCTAAAATTTCTAAACCCCCAATACGATGACCACGTCCTCTCCAAATACTACCGACTACCGCCCTCCTGCAATCTGCAATTGTTCCGTCTCCTCCGCCCTTCTCCCCAATTCACCGGCGACACCATCCACCCCACCGCCTTCTTTCTCTACGGAGTAACCTCTGCTCCGATCTAACACCCATCGCATTCCACCACCGCCCTCCTCGCACCGGACGGATCCGTCCCGGCGACGGCCACGACGCTACTGTGAGAAATCAAGTAATCCTCCTAAAAAAATGAAAACAAATGCACCATACAAATATGTTACTCTCTCCTTGTGATCCTGATCTCCAACCCACCCATCACAACCTTCCGCACCTTCTTATAATTGGCAGCAGGGAGTACTCCGCTGGTAGTGATATCGGTGTGTCCATTCCCCATGCGCCTCCGGACGGGTCGCCGCCGAGAACTTAAAAAGCAAGCTCCGTGAATAACTCTATGTGCTTAAAAATCGATTGTTAATTAATAATCCTTAACTAAATTAGAACTTTTGATTTCCTTTCCTTCTTCTTCTCGTTTGGTTTGGGTTGACGACTTCAGTAATCTTCGGAGAGCAGAGGAGAGATCCTCGTAATGTGGGCAGCCGGTAGCGGTTTGATTACAGGGGAGAGTGTTTTTTTTTATATGTTTAATTAATTGTGTTTGTGATATACGAAGAATAAAAAAAAGGATAAAAAGGTCATTTTAATTTTTAAGTTAGGGCGATTTAGTAGAATCTAGGGCGACGTTTAGCAATCCCCATATATATTGTCTAATTTGGGCAAGATTTTCACAGTTTTTACCTTGGAGTGTAATTCAAGTTGACTTCCTATAAAACTCACTCATCCTTGTTGTCGTACACACTAATCATGTTTAACTTCATATTTCTCACAATAACTTCTACAAAATGCATCTTGTTAGTTAAGGTCAATTTCTTACTAATGAACAATGAATCTCTCTCGCTCTTTGTCGATGTGAAATTTTTCTAACGTGTTACATATCGTTTACTTTATAAGTTGAAAAAGGTGGTATTTCAGCCTAGAATTCAGTTTTATCCCCTCACACTCGACTCTTGTTATAATGTTAGCCACCTCATTTTTACTTCCTTGCCCCAAAAACAACAACCAAAGTTACCCATTTCCTCCATTTCCCGACGCAACTCTTTAGATACTCTTCCTATCTCCAAATCAAACTACCCTTTGTCTTCAACTTCTCCACCACAAATTTGCAATCGACCAAGGTAATCGCACAAGTAGGGATGACAAAGAGACTGGTTCCTGTCAATCATTCACCTCCCTGTTTCCAAATAATCAAATTCACACCATGCCCTATGGGTGATTCCCAACCTAATATACCGCGATTTCTGGTATCAATGAGTAATGCTCACCCCGTATGTCCAGTATCACTATACTTTGAATTCAACATGGACATCTTCAGTTATAACACTAAGAGAACCCGTGAGTAATGGAGGATTCACAACCCCATATCCGTGATTTTTAGGTACCCATGAGTAATACCCTTCCCGTATATCATAATAGCCGATCCTGTGCCAATGTTGCAGCAAAAACCTCCCAACCATTCACCATCGTTGTCCCTGATACACCCTCCTGCTGCCCTAAGACTCGGAGTACCCTGAGCTGCCCCATCGGTGTTGAGCTTGCACCAACCAGTCGGAGGCGGGTTCCAGCCAATGAGCCTTTCCTCCCTTGATGGTTTTAGGTAAGAGTCAGCTCTATCGACCGCTGATTTCCACGTCTTTGCCCAATCTTTGGCTTTGAACACAATGTAGTTGATCATAGTGGATCTTGACATTCTTGCTGCCTTGAAGATGAAATCGTTTCGATGTTTCCATATATACCAACAGATGAGGGAGAAGAAGCTATTCCACTCACCTGTATCAGCCATTTCGTCATCTTTATTTAAGCTATGTGCTAGCCAACTTTCCTGGTCTGCTGCAAAGAATTGATGCTGACTTTGTTGGGGAACTATCTTTTCCCAAACTTGTTTAATCTTGTGACAATCCCTCAAGCAGTGGATATTGGTTTCAATTTCTGTCCCGCAAAGAGCACATTTGTCATTGATGGAAAGGTGCATGTACTTCCTGACACTGTTGGTTGTTAATCTTCCTTTTCAGGTTGTCCACATGAATAACCGAACCCTCTTTGGCACTTTCAGCCTCCCAATCTTGCGCCAAGGGATGACGCTTGTTTTTGGGATTTGACTTGCTGCTAATAGATATGCATATGCCGTATTGAATGCCCCAGACGCTGATGGTTTCCAAAAAAGCATGTCCTCTTCTGATGATAACTGATCAAGCAAAAAGGCGCGCAACTGATCCAAAATTTCAGTCGGCAGGTAAGCTTCCAAGTCAGCAATTCTCCATCCTGTCTCAAGATCCCAATAGTCAGCAACTTTTTTTTTTGCCTCCATTGGGACGTCCACCCTCGCCTTCTCAATTAAGGGTACCTGCATCAACCAAGGATCACACCAGAAATTGGTCAGTTTGCCATTTTTTACATTAAGGGCAGCCCCTTTTCGAATAAGATGGGCAGACTGACTAAAACTTTGCCAAGCATGTGAACTTCCATTTTTTCCTTTAAAAATCCGAAGCCCTTTCCTATCACCGCCATATATGCTATTGAGAGTTTTAGCCCACAACACACTGTCTTCAGTGACCAATCTCCAGGCTCCTTTTGCCAACATCGCTTGGTTAGTCAGCTTAGTGGGTCGAACTCCTAGACCTCCTTGAGCTCGCGGGAGCGTCATTTGGTTCCAAGACATTGTGTGGAGCTTGTTCTTGTTTTCATCTTCCCCCCAAATGAAGCGTCTGTTATATTTATCAATAGCGTTGCACACCCCTGCAAGAAGAGACTCAGAAAACATAGGATAAAGAGCCACATTAGAAGTCACAGCTTTAACCAGAGTCACTCGAGCTGCCATGGATAAATGCTTAGTCTTCCAGCTAGCCAACTTCCTCTGGACTTTGAGTAGGAGTTCTTTGTAGTGAGTCTGAGTGATTCTTCCATTGATAGCCATAAGTCCCAAATACCTCCCTAGATCCGAAGTAAGAGGAATCCCTGCTCAAGAGCTAAGGTGAAACGCCTTGTCCCTAACAATATTGGGAGAAATAAACATGACCGATTTACTGAGATTGACCCGCTGACCGGAGCTAGAACAAAACTCATCAAGGCATTTTTTGATGATATCTACTTGTCTACTCTCCGCTTCTGCAAACAAAATCAGATCATCAGCAAAAAAAAGATGAGAGAGTTTTGGGCCATCTGTAGACAGCTTAATGGGTTTCCACAATTTATCCTCAATGGCTTGTTCAATTTTATGAGCTAATCTCTCCATACATAAAACGAAAAGAAAAGGGGAAAGAGGATCTCCCTGACGAACACCCCTGCTTGGAATGATCGGATCTAAGAGATGACCATTCCAATTAATCCTCATTTTATTTCTCTCCACACAAGCCATGATTCTGTTGATGAAGGAGCTAGTCAGCCCAATCTCCCCCAAAGTGTCCCTTATGAATAACATAATAACATTTGCTGCCGCTTTACTTTCACCAAATAATTTGAAGAATTGATTAAATTTTAAAAGTCATGTGATGTGTGCATTCATTAAAGATGACGGAAACTAATTATTAATATTTAATAACGATGATTGTAGGGGCGTGCGTCGCATTAATGACTAAGTTTTTTTTTTATGGAACATTAATGACTATGTTTTATCCGTGAACTCAGGTAATTACCCATCCCCATTATTCCAAGAATGGTACAATTAGAAAAATATGGAGGCAAGAGGGATTTGAGTTCAAATTACAAATATCATCTTATGCATTATGTAAATTAAAACTAAAGTTTTAAATCAAAATTTTTTGAAATTTGAAAAACACAAACATTGAATTATCATACCTTACATTTTTTAATTGAATCGAGTGGAGCTATGTAGGCTCCCCCAAAATTTTTGAAAATTAACGCAAAAAGTCTTAGAAAATTGGAAGACTACGTATAAATCAAATGTTTATTCTATATAATGATCTGTTACCATAACAGGTTTATAGCCTAGTGGTGATTTTTTCTAATTGCAGCCCATTGGTATTGGGTTTAGGGATGGCAATGGGTCGGGTTGTGGTGGGTTATGTCAAACTCATGGGTTTATACCAAAAACATTCGGGATAAAACTCACTGGATTGAGAAAACTCAAACCCAACCCAACCCAACCCGCTGGGTATCCACGGGTTCATGTACAAAGATGCAATTACACTAGTTTTCACTACTATTGTCTACTGCATACACACTAAATTACAAAATCATTCATACGAATTGTTCAATATTAAAGATAAACATCCACAAAAAATATGATTAATAGAACGTGTGAGAAATTAGTTTAAAAATTATAGTTAATTAATTAAGGTTCCACGGGTCGTGGGGGTTTGACTTGAGTGCGGGTATCTACGAGTTGGATATGGCTAAACTCAAACCCAACCCGCAAAAAGTATAGCGGATTTAAATCCGAACCCAACCCGCAATTCATCAAAGCGGATTTTACCCGTATTGACCGGGTTGGGTCGAGTAGGGTACCCGTGGATTCAGGTTCTACTATCAACCCTAATTGGGTTCGCTCCTGATAAGGAGCTTCTACCATTCTAAACAA